AACCGACTCCAAAAAGAAAAGACGAAGATCTCAGTTTCACCTGTATTAGGTATATAAGTTTGTGCATGATTATCTTGCAATTGGCTGAACCGATTGTGATGTCGTTTTCAGAAGTGTTTTTTTTACACTCTGTAGAAGGATGTAGTATTTTAATTAAGACTGCCAATAAAAAACTGTTGAAGGCAAATCTTCCGCTAACGTTGATCACCGGTGACCCCCACGGCGTTTAATGTGTTAACCAACTTCATAAAAAGAGGGCATTGAAGTTTTATAAAACGCAGTTTATAAAATAATTATTGTTAGTTAAAAAAGATTTATTTGTGACTAATCCGCTTTCATATTTGTATTACTTTTTATTTTACAAAGCTGTAGAGCTTCTTTGTTGGTTTAAACACGCTAATGTCGGAAACTGCTATTCGATATGAAAAATTCTCTTTGTATTGGATAGTCCATTTATTATAGGCTGTAAAACATCATGCTTCGATTAATAGGCGAGCAGCGTCAGTGAAACGGCAAAGAATCATCTAGTTTGTATTATAAGCTTAAATCGATGGAATAGCGAGAGTTTGATAAATTTTCCGATTTAAAAGAAATCCTTCTTTTTCGGAGTTGCAGTTCTAGCACACACGATATAACATAAAAAAAATAAACCATTGAGAAACACTGCAAACATACCAGTAACCATTTTATTAAAAAAAAATCCTAAGCATCGGGGAACAACACGCGGCCATGACAGTATGTCAGAACCTTTTCCTTACATATCTGGCATTATGTGACTGTCAGACTACTGACAGACGGATATGATAACTGGGTCGACGGGAATTCTGTAACCCGTTTGTCACGTTCAGCGTGACCTTTTCGGCTCACCAATGGTTTTTGTGGCTAGGCCTTAATCGAAAGCAGTATTGTGGTACAATTAAATGGGTCGAAGATAGTCTAAGAAGTTTTGTAATCGCGAAATGCAATTTTATGTGTAAGAAATTAATTAATTTATTTATTTATATATGCTTTATTGTACACATTTAAGTAGCTTAAAACAAACAATTCAAGTAAATATGCGTACAATGGGCGGTCTTATCACACAATGGTGATTTCTTCCGGACAACCTTTGGATGGAAATATTTATAAGAAACCAGATAAGGGGTAGTTAAGACTTTTCTTAGTTTTAAGACTCCTATAGCCTCTGATCTGATGAAACACCGGCTCCCAGTATAAAACACATTATGGCCGCAACTTTCAACCGACAAGAGAATAGTTTCTGTAAGGTTTTCAGTTATACTACTGTTAAGAATTAAAAAAATAGTCTTCTTTATCTTATCCTTCATATGATAGTATTGCCAGACTCGGCTGTCCAGTTTAAAATCTTATAGTATAGTCGCAATTCTAAAACAAAACATTCGATATTTATAAGCTACACAAATATAAATAGGTTATATTATATTTCTACTTACTTATTTCGAAAAATAAAATGATAAACGATTTGATTTCTAGAAAGAGGGACGACAATAGACGATCCTTTGATTACCATAATGACGTTTCAATTTCTGAAAGTTTTTCTTGAAAACGACAAAAGATTTGGAGACAGAAATAATTAAAATATCTTTAGACGATTTTCAAGTAAAACAATTCTGTATTAAAGCAAGTTCTAAGAGGAATCTCTGAGAATTTGTATCGTAGCATTTCCATCTTCTAGATAATATGAAATTATAGCATTTATCATGAGCTTGCGCTTTTGTTGTTCGTTCTAGTTCTTACATAGTTCTGTTAACCCCATTTTAAATAGGGAGTTTGAAACAAAACAAAACCTTGGGAACTATATACTGGGTGAAATGTGAAGTAATTATATAAATGAGGGCCATTATTAAAGTAGAATGCATGGAATACTGGCTGGATGTGCGCCTCAAAGCAAATCATACATTATATTATATACAACCGCTTATTATATGTTGTAGAGGAATAAGTGCATTGTTAGGAGCTCATTTCTTCCTTTACATATAGGTACCTAAATATAGACGAATCGATGAAGATTCTAGATGTTAATGGACGTTGGTCATCTGGTTGTCATTGGACCTTTATCCCATAGTTGAATGAATCTGAACTGAATCATTACGCTGAACATCGTAATGATTAACATCGCTCTCTATGTCTCGTATGGTTGACTTGATTTGTTATGATAAAACCAGAGATATGGAGACACGTGATTTGGGAACAAAAGATCTTTAGCACAATAATAGGTACAACAGTTGGAAAGTACCTACATGATATCATTAAATAATAATTTATTTCTTGGAATGTACATTTAAGTGTGGATGATATATTAGTCCGTCGTTCAATTTCACCAACTCAATCTGTACGACGCGACGGTCAACCGGGACTTACCGATGGCTGCGACTAGGCAATCTATCTTCAGCTGGACGTTCAACATGCTGTTATTAAATTTCATACTCTATACATGTTGTGTAAGATATATTTTACATTGTAGTCTAATGACAAAGTGCTTTTGCAAAGTTTCGTTGAGAAATGGCAAACTCTTTGGTGTTCTATTTTTCCTTATTTTCTTATTATGATGGTGCAATCTAGTTCAGATTTCTCAAACATTTTTTGCGATTAACCTCTTATCTGCTGGCATATGAGACACAATAGATAACACATTGTGTCTCACGTATATCTACGCTCCCGGCATACCAGGGGTTAAGAGTTGAATGTAAAGTGTGGTGGTGGTATTTATGGATTAAGTTTAAAAGTAATAATAAGTCGTGGTCAAGGGAACAAAGTAGTCTATATCTTCATCCCGGCCTCTTTCGTTCACAGACAAAAAATCACAATTAAAGTCGTTATAATACAGTTAAATTCCTATTCATACTAATATTTAAGTCAGGAATTGGCTTTGTAGATTGTAGGTACCTAATAATTTATTTGATGTAATGTGTATGATATTCCAGGAACGTAAAAATCTCCTCACGACAATACAATCAGGAATTTTAACCAAAACGTACTTAGAAGCAAAGGTTCATCAGGATTACAAGTCCGTGCTCAGCTTACATTACGAAATTGTACTAAAACAGTCGCCAGTTAGTATTCCTGAATCGTCTGCCAGGCTAATTTCAATTTTAAATGTACTGCTTTATGAATATAATTTATTTAACATAATCTCAATTCATTAGACGGAAAAATGGTAAGGTAGGAAAGGATACATGTCGTTATAACTAAAGTTAGAATACATTTGTCACTATCACTCCTCTCGTGGGTATCACAAGAGCCGACTAAGGGACTTCACATTTACCAAAAATCGGATTAGCATACATACTATAACTAAATGTCTGTCTCCCATTGGGTTGGTAGAGACTATGGAACGCCAATTGCTACAATTCTCACGTACCTCTTTCACTTCATTACAGGTCTTTTCATGCATGCTCGTCGGTAAAGGCACTTATAATTCTTCCATTCTTTTAGTATATCGTCAATCTGGTCAAAATATGTCCGTCTAGTCTAGGACGACCTCTTCCGACACGGCGGCCCCATTCATATCCGGTCTTTATACTTCTTACTTCTTACGTTACTCCACTTTCTTCATGTCCAAACCATCGTAGCATTCCCTTTTCGGATTACCGTTCTCTTATTAACTTAAACTTTTTGAACTGCGGTTTGCAACCTCCACCAAAACACGAAGATAATAATGATATTAAAATATTAACGTGAAACTTTATCATTGCAATTGTAATTAAGAATTAACTGCCGTGAATCATAGATTAATTAAATTAATTGAATGTTCATGACATTCGCAATAATTAATTGGAAATTGACGATTAAGAATCGTAAAAACGACGTAATTGTTTGAGTATTAAAATAATGGTTTCCATTTGAGAGGAAATTATTTGGTACAGTTTTAATCAAGTTAAATGATACTTATTACTAAAACGGCAGCGTTTTCTAATACCCGATTCTTTTGAACTGCAATCTCTAATCCCCGTGCCAAATGTGGAGATTATGACAAGCCCTCTTATGTGGAGTAGCCTATACAGCCCAGCATTGGGCTTCCATGGGTTGTTGACGAATAACATAAAGTCAAAATATTCTTCATAATATACAACGCAGCGATTACTTAGCAGAAACACGTTCATAAAAAGAAAAAAGAAAAAGTTGTCAATAGCAGCCATGTACACTGTACAGCCATGGAATGGGATTATTTTGGTCGCGGATCAACTTTTAATGAAATAATGGACTTGCCGCTAATCTCGCAGCTGTCTCAAACACTTGTTAAAAAAATCACGAAAATATTAGACTTACATTTTTGTTTTAGTGTTATTTTTTCCTCTCCGCAGCCGCCCGTCTCGAAGTTTCTTTATTATCCCGCCTTGCGACTCGGTTCATAATCAACGATACACCGCAATGTATAAGCCACTAGATTTACCTCGATACTTCTTTCGTCTACTTCTATCAAGTATTATGTTCTTCTCCCTGTAGTTTCTACTAAATTTACTTTTCCTCTCTCGTAAATATCTTCTTGAACTAACATCAATAACTTTTTTAATATCAAACCGCAACTCCTACGAGTTTGTTTCCACCGCACAAGATACATTACAAACAGTGTACGCTTGTTCGAAGTGTACGGATTAGAAGCTTTCAAAAGATTAACTGGGCCAGACCTCCATCTGACCATTTCATTAAAACTTCCTCCCGCCTCTACCCTAATTACATTCAAAACAAAAATAATTCCGTGACTCACTTAAATGTACGTGTAAGTCATGACTCATCCGAATGTACGGATTAATTGTGACATTGACATACGTTTACACATCCGCGAGCTTCGTGCGCGACTTATGTTACGCTAACTTTATGCGTGTACGACTGTACGTATAGGTAGAACTATATAAACGTTACCCGGTTCGTAAAATTACTATGAACGCACAGATTCGTTTACCGTGGGGTCGATCAATCGTAATTTCCTTTCGATTCATCCCAATTTCTGCTTTAATTAATATGAATTTTAATTGTTTCAGATTCTACAACGGGCAGCTACACTAACCTCACAAAATTATTACAAATAAAGAAATTATTTAGTTTAGTAAAATTATCGAATAAACGACGAAGCGCCTTCAATTTTCCAATTACGCATTAGTTAGCTTAATTAGAAGATAAGATAGTGTAGTCAAGTGGGTTGTGGTTGTTAGGCGCGTGTCGTGTCGCGCGCGTCGGTTGCTGGTGTCGCGGGGATCAATGCGTGTGTGTGTGGCGCGCGTGGGCCGGCAGTCGGCGTGAGAGAGTCACGCGCACGTGCGCGTCGGGCCGGCAAGATTGAGGTGGTGGCCGGGTGCGGGTGGGGCAGGCGCGCGCGCGTGCGGCCGCTGCACGCGCTGGGCCGCGCGGCCGGCATGTTGGCCTCGCAGCGTTCGCAGTCCTGCAACGAGGAGGGCGCGTTCTTCGGGGCGCGCGCGCTGCGCCGGCCGCGCGGCAAAGGCAGCGGGAGCCCGACCTGCTAGGGGTACGCCATGTCGCTGCGCAGCCTGCACCGGCGGCTATCATCCGCCAATAACACGTGAGTTAACTTTGTTTACTGTTCTACTGTATTACCCGACACGACTAGGTCCTTTATGAACCCCATTATCCGTAGATAAACACATTGACGGTAGCTGCTGACACAATACCAAACAAACAGTATTGGTATCCAATAACTAGTAAATTGACACATTAACGTTTGTACAATTGCAATGATTGGGCACTCAGCTCGATAATTGTAATGGTTTGATTTAGTAGTGAACCGTTTCGAATTATTTATACCGATTTAAAAGACGATGGAACGTACTCTAGCGGCAAGTCATCAAAATGTCGAACGGGCGACCATCGGGATGTGAATATTCAATTACCGAACCTAAATCCAGAGCGCACTGCCATAAATCCAACAAGCGTCAGAGAGAATAGACCTTATGATGTAGCAGCTAGATTGGTTTTAGTATGCAATACAATCTAAATCGGTTATTACTTCTGGCGGGCACAATTAAGGGTTGATAATCGTGCCATAATTTATGCAAATTTGTGGCATACGCGGTATTACTATAGGTAATATTGGTTTTGTGGCATGGATGGCGGAATGTGTTGATCCAAACAAGACATTATTTTAAGCTATTTATAAGTAACACTCTATTTATGGAGGAATTTAATAACATATTTCTGCAAAGCTAAATAGCTGCATAAGACACATTTAGTGTCTGTTGATAGTGTCAGTCTGCAATTTAACTCGTCGAGTACCGGTTTTGTAGACACAATTATAGAACAATAGGTTGCGGTCACCGGTGACCGCTTGGTGTTTGACAGTTTAATATGTATTTTGTTGTTCTTCGAATTCATCAATTGCAATATGAGCATATTTTAATATAAGCATTTTTCACAATAGGACTAATATGTTTCGACTTTTTGTGTAAAAAGAGGTTTTCTTCTTTATTTCATATTGACTGAAACACATTAGGAAAGGCGATGTTTTCCACTACAGTATTAAATTGATTTTTATCTTAGGTACAAAATCAATTTAATCCAGTATCCATATCTGGATAAATGCACTACCACATCTAAAGCAAAAATTGGACCTTACCCACTGACAATTGATTTCACGCCCACAGGTCAGAATGCACAATCCTACACAAAAAATCCATTTCAAAAAGCCATCACAATGCATTCTACACAATATACTCAAAAAACGCATCAATCAATTTCGGAATACGTCCGGAGTCTATAAATCATTATGATGGACGTATCAAAAGGGTGACGTGTACAAGGTCATGGATCCCGATTGTACCTATTGGACGTCCGCGTCCGTATAGTAACCATGTGGTCTTGACTATGGTCAGGATTGACAAAAGTGACATTGGGTAGTTTCCTTGTCAAAAATAAATTATAATAATAATAAAAAAATAACAACAGTTTCATTAGTGGTATTTACAATTTTAGATTTTCTACAATTTACAATTTCCACATTTTTTTGCATAAATAGAAACCAATATGTTATATAAACGTCAGTTTTTCATAGATACAAAATTCATAGAAAAATATTGTTTTAGACACGTAGAATTGAGCCGCGGAGGACTTAACGGGTTGCTGGGGCTCCGGTTCGAAGCCCCGGCAGGAACCGGTTCGAAGCTCCGGTAGGAACGGGGTGGTTTTTAGTCAGTAAGACAGACTCTTACTGACTACACTCCCTCATGCCTCACCCAGACGGGAGAAGTCATTCGATGATGCTCCTTAAAAAAAAACATGTCGAAATAAATATCGAATTTGACTTCTTATAGAAAAGTACCATATTGTAGCTGATAGAGCATTTAACTGTATATTCAGGGATTTTACTATAGTGTGTAATGTTTGAAATTAGATTCGACCCTATTCCAAAATTTGGAGCTTAGCTCATTAACACAAAACACAAGTGGAGATAATTATTTGGTTTACGAGGTTAAAGCATTTGATAAGATAACGTTAGAGCAATAACAAGCTTATCACTATTAGTGGTATCGATTTTCATCACGTTTTAGTCAAAATTAGGCCTCAGTATAGAGAATTACGGTGATATTTTACTTTGTTTGGACTGAATTGGATACTATTAGGACTAATGCCATTTGATTTCGCCATCCCATAAGAATCTCTTAACTAAAAGGTTAGTATTGAAACTAACTCCTTACTTGTACTATTTGGTAACGACTGCCTTGTTGGTCGAGTGGTCGCAAGTGCGACGGCTGGACAAGGGATCTAGGGTTCGATTCCCGGGTCGGGTAAAGTGTTACTGGGTTTTCAAAAACACTCAGTAAAATAGCACAGAGTCTGCCCGGTATATGGAAATAGGTTCACCTCTATTATATGGGACTCATAACATAATTAGTGAAAATAAAAACTGCGTTTAAAAAACCGACTTCAAAAAACCAAAAACTAATAACAAACAAAAAGTCAAAACTAAAAAGCAAAAAATAACTATTATTAGTACTGATAGGTTACCTATCCACTGATAGGTAAGAAGTCGGTGTTATAGAGCGTTTACTATAAAATGAAAAGTGAACGGAAGCTGTGAATATATCCTTTTCTTTATACATCAAAATATATTAAATTTATTTTTGTTATAAACTGTTGCATTAAACCGAAGCAGTTACGAGATGTAGGTATCATTAGTATTCCAGTACATTTTTCCACTCCGCTCATCTCAATACCAACCTCACTATACCAACACACAAGAATGCTACGAAGCTTGAAACTTCGTAGCATTTCGTAGCAACAGCTCCTGTGATGTCTACGCCGTAGCCGCTCTTTGCTAACGTAACTTTTAGCTTTGTATTCATATTAAAACGGTTGAAATTTGAATAACATTTACTGACGTTGGCTATAGGTCTTTGGCCAGTGTAGGAGGGTCACACCGCAAAGTGGATTCCAAACCGCGTAGCATGTATTTCCGTCCTTTATGTTCGTATATGAGATGTTATGTGAACACTTTGTAAAAAGAGTATGTACTTCACTCTGAGGGGATTGGGTTTGATTACCCGCTTGATATTTTTGGGACTGAAAGTTTTATACTTTTACATAATGTATGAAGGATGTCTTTTTGAAAATGCATTCATGCGAAAAGAGTGTTGTAACTATAAAGCAGTTTGATTAATGGTTACTTTAGTATGATTAAACTATAGAATTGTTTTATGACACCTCTATGAAGTTTCTATCCAATATACAAAACATTTTGAATATTAAAACAGAAATTAATAAACAGCGACATATTTTTGAATAAAACGCGTTTAATAAAGTGCCAGAGCTGTATGAAAGCGATTTAGTAAAGGCTGGAATAGTTGTAGGTAAAATATTGCCGACACCAAGCCTGGTTGTCGGCAATATATTCTAGAACAAATATATGGTATATGTACACACGGCGACACATCATGCTAAACAGAACAAGTATAAACTGACCGTCGAATGGGGGAAAGATCAAACAAAATGAGATCTTGATATATTGGTTTTGTATTACTTGATGTGTACAATGAAAGAAAATACAAGCAGTTATTTGTTGGATGAAGTGGGCCTAACCACGTCAGAGGCATAAACGTGAGAAGAATTGGGTAGTTTGTGCCTTGCCTTGACACCGTTTAATTTATACCGCCGAACTATTCAAGCCGTAAGATTCGAGAATATAAGGAATTTTCTACAACACCCCCCATTTTGAAAGCCCGGGAATGAGGGTGGGAAAATAACAAAGCTTATACCTTTCTCACATAAACCACATAAATGTTATAACGCTGTCAAAAAACTCTTGAAAGCAAATCCTTTGACGGAACCGCCGCCGGTCGCAGTGACCCCCCATGACGTTTAACGAATTGAATAATAAACAAGTTTAAAAAAAATGTTACCACTGCCTCTGGTTGCAAGTGTAACTGCCGGGCAAGGGGTCTCGGGTTCGATTACTGGGTCAGGCAAACTATTACAGGGTTTTTGTAAAAAAATTGGTCTGGAATTATGCCCGGTATATGGCAATAGTCTCATCCCCTATTACATGGGACTCATAACATAAATAGTGAAAAGTGGGTGATACATTGTTCAGTGGTATGATGTGCAGGGGTAGGCAGAGGTCTGCCTACCCCTTCAGGGATAAAGGGCGTGATGTTATGTAAAAAAATGTCTCGCTGGTGTCAAGTGGGATTGTTGAACAAGGCATCTTATTGGACAAAATATTATTCAGGTATTTTCTTTTTTTTTGATAAATTGTATCATCTTGTTGTAGCCTGACAAAAGTCCTATGGGAAAACACTTTTCATATCCTAGTATAAATTTCTATAACATAAGTGGTCTGTCTAGCAGTATTAAAGATGTCGTATCATCGTGGTATCACCGCTATCAGTCTGTGGACGGCAGATGACATTCGTCCCGCATAAAATATGTACTATGATACTTATCTAGGTACCATCTGGGTAAATCTAGACCAAATTGTAGGCTAAGTCGTGCAAAGGTTAAACGAAAGTTTTAATTATTATCTAGGCTGATTTTAATGTAGTTAGTTAATAGGCTTTTATGTAGTTATATGTGTCTATTTGGCTTAAGTGTGTGTAATGGGCCGGCTCGACCAGAGTGATACCACGGCTTTACGGCACAGAAGACCGACGTGAAACAACGCTTGTGTTGTGTTTCGTCGTGTGTGTGAGGTTATCGGAGGATCAGCTCGTTTACCGGCTTATCCCAAAAATAACTAAAATAACGGTCTACTCACGTAAATATATTGAGAAAAGCTCTACTAGTTTCGAGTTACAGAGGGATCCTTCCTCATTACGCAGTCGCGACGTCGTCGCGCAGCCTGTGGAGTACACCGTTATTTTTAGTTAATTCAGCGTGTCCCACGATAGTTAATATAAAATAGGTAGTGTATTTGGTATTTATGTATGATCCAAATATAATACGTTTTTTTACCGCCTGCTTATGATTTACGATTACCGTACGCAAATTTGTAAATTTTTACTGTCTTTTGTTTTCCAATTTTTTTTCGTGGTATTGATTTTCTACACTCTATACACTCGTTATATTACATTT